CCACCTCTCTCCATGCTGCGTCCTTCCGGCTCCAGCTCCTGGCTCCGTCCTCTCCTCGCTGTCCGCCGACCTCTTCAGGATGGAGTTGGTGAGCAGAGCGGCAGGGTTAAAACTAACCCTGCCGCTCCGTGTAGACAGTGAGAGGAGAGAGCAGTCTTCCCCTCTCACCTTTCACAGGAGTTGTGCTGGAACTCCTGTATTGAAGGTGACAGGGCCAATAAAGAGAACCTGTCACCTCCAAATGCTATCACACAGTGACTTGTTAGTTCCTGTGTGATAACAATAAAGTTAAGCGCCAACACTAAGGTGAGGGTTTATGAGTGTGGGTTAAAGTGCTTGGTGTGCGGCTACTTAGAAATGTGGACCGGGGTGTCCGACGTTTGCTAATGTTTTGCTATTGCATTGCAAAAAATGGCCTTGGGGCTGCAGGGAGGGTAAATCCGGTCCTGCATACAGTCTGTTCCTTGTAAGTTTATATGCAGTGCCGAATACAATCATAGTACACTTACTTATTGCCAGTGTTTGCTGCAAGTGGTCACTAATTCTTTGTCAGAGAGGAATAATGACATCACATATGAAAACAGGCAGCAGGTGTCAGACAGGGTCGGTTTTAAAGTCTGTTAGTGCCAAGGGTCAGAGTTAGGAAGCAAAACTTGAAGTAATAGGGACAAAACTTAGTGCACTGAGGGTTCATTTCCGGCTGCTCCTGTGTGCGTGTACAATATTCCTAGGTCTAAAAAATTGTAGATCATTTCAGTCTGTCATTTCAGGTGAGTAAAACGAAGCTGCCGATGAGCGAGGAACTTGGTCGGGCCGATGGTTTCCTGGTTGTGTATGACATCAGCCGACTGTCGTCCTTCGTCTTCGCCAAGAATCTGATCTGCAACCTGCGCGAGGCCAACGTCAGGATGTGTAGGAGGTAATGAGACAAGAGAGCATGGAAATATTCTCTGATCAGGGTCTGTCGGGATGGAATTCAGATTATTGAGGCAAAGACTGAACATCAGGAATGTCTGTGAGTTCTACTCCAGCAATCAATTCCTTTCCTTGACCTGAATTATATTATACTGAGTAATGTTAATTGACAAATGCTATTCTTCACTGTGCGGCCACCAGCTTTCAGAATACAATAGCCCAGCAGGGGAGATTCCCCCATCCACACCACTTAGCAGGTATGGCCAGCTTAAGATTGCTGCATTACCACCATAGTTTTATTAATTTGTGTCTATTATATCTGCCTGGAGTTCATCTTCATATTCTTCGTATTCATTTAAATGGGCCCATATATGCTCCCCATAGCAAGCTCAGATGTACATGACTGTGATAAGGCTTCCATAAAGTTAGGGTCAGCTTGACATTGCTGCATTACCACCATAGTTTTATTAATTTATGTTTTTTCATGGAGCTCATCTTCATGTATAAATTAAGATGTATAGATGTGATAAGGCCTCCATGAACTTAGCCATAAAAAAATAGCGGAGCGCATACATGACAAGGTGAACAGGGGAAACAAGGAACCGAGGGGTTAAATAGGGGTTTTACATTAAAGTGACACTAAACTCAGAAGTTAAATCTTAAAAATACATTCAAGTATCTTAACAAAAATGTATCTTATTTGTGTATCGCGCGGCTGTAGATCCTCCAATCATCTCTGAATTGGTGCTGACACTGTCCTTCCTTCTGGAGGGCGGCTACTTTTGTTCCCCATGGTCCCTGTGTGTGTTGTAAAGTAGTCACCGCTCCAAGATCACTCCCGTGATGGACTACAATCTCAATATAAATCAGTAAACTTAACATTAGATTGTAGTCCATCACGGGAGCGTGCTTGGAGTGGTGGCTACTTTACAACACACACAGGGATCATGGGGAACAAAAGTAGCCACCCTCCAGAAGGAAGGACAGTGTCAGCACCAATTCAGAGATTTGAGGATCTACAGCCGAGTGATACACAAATTAGATACCTTCTTGTTACTAATTAAGGTACTTGAATGTATTTTTAACTGTCAATTTAAGAAAGGGTCAATTACTCGGTTGGTGGCCAAAGGTTAGAAGGATCTTCGGAGATGGTGTGAGGAGGGGGTGTCTCTCACTGGAGTGGTCAGAGACCGTTGGATAAAGAGAGATCTTCCCACCCACCCAGCCTGGTTATTAGCAGTCGTCGTTTTAGGTGACACGGCAGCTTGGGGAGTTTGGGGTCTTTGAAGGCAGCTAAATAAGTGCTGATGGCTAATGTTTGGGGAGCTGTCTTGTTATAGTGTCCTCAATTCATGGTCTAAAATGGTGGTGAACAGGAAATTCAGTTACTGTATTTGCAGTCAATGGAGGTTGTCCCCATGGTGGTGCGGTGTGACTGAGGGCCTAATATATTTACTGGTTCCGCAAAGACAAGGATCTGTTAAAATATTTTGGCCTTCAAAGATCTGCAGGATGTTGAATTTTGGATTTTGTTGGATTATAATAACTCCACAGAAGGTGTTGTCTGGTTATTTGGGGGAGAGTTTGAGCGAGGTTGGGGTGGCCTGGCAGTTTTAAATGTGAGGTGGCTGGGGACATCTGTTCTACCTTAGTCATGTACGCTTGGGTGCAATAGAGACAGGCCTTATATCTGTATGTGTCCTGGGTCGTGCTCTCAGCACTCGGAGTCTCTCTGCCATATTGCGGTTTCTCTGATATTGACTTTTTTGCTGTTGCAGAGACACGGAGGCGGGGCTCTTCCTAATCGGCAACAAGCAGGACCTGTGCCACATGCGAGAGGTGTCATGGGAGGAGGGTCAGAAGGCAGCCTTAGAGCAACGCTGTCACTATTATGAACTCTCTGCAGCTGAACAATGCCAAGAGGTCAACGCCATGTTTACTGCCATTGTCAGAACTATCTTCTTGCAGAACAAGATGAAGGACAAGAGGAGGCCAAGCGGCTCGATGGCCAAACTGATCAGCAATGTATTTGGGAAGAGGCGGAAATCCGTCTGAACAAATTTAGTGTCATCTAAGATTAATGGATGATGTGATGATAGTGAGGTCAGAAAAAAACCCCAAACTGTGTGGAGAGAATGGAAGAGCTCTACTGAACACAGTGCCCTCATTTTTACCAAAATTTGCGAGACATCCAGGTAAGGTAACGCATTTGACAGAAGAAAAAAGTCCAACTTAAGATACATTTGACACAAATAGAGAAGTTAGATGGGATTGAGAGGTGTCATAAACCTCCACCAGCAGCGTATGCAAAAGACTATGCAAAAGACTCATAAATGAACCCATCATAAATAGCCTGTCAGAACTGTTCAGGGGTACACATCTGTGAGCCTGGTTGTTTATACCCTAAACTTTATATATAGTCCATAATTCCTGCTGTGATAAAGTTACATTCATAAAAGTGGTCACTTTAATGTAGCAGAAGATACCATGTAGTCAAACACCAAACATGCCTATATTGCAAGGTCCAGAAGGCCAATAAGATACATAAGACTTCTTAGGAGAATTAGGAAATATACACTGAGTGGCCAGGTTATTATGACCACCCCATCAGTACTTCGCTGGGCCGTCTCGTGACTCCACGAGATGATGAAAGGTGATGCGAGGAATCTGACACTGCACTGTGGCCCTTCTGTTGTCTTGTACCAGTCTTGCCACTCTCCGTTCTGCCCTAACATTGACTAGTCGCTGACGGCCACAATTCGCACATGAAGACCCAGATTTTCGGCTGACAGTCCAGTCTTTAAACACTTTAACAACAGCTGCTCTTGAACATGTAATGAATTCTGCTGTTTTGCTGATACTCGCTCCATGGCTCCGAGCGCCAACAATCATCCCACGTTCAAAGGCTGTTAAATCGCGTTGTTTCCCCGTATCTTCAGAAACAAATCACTTCTACTGTCGTGGTAAACTACCTGCTTCCCTATTTATAATGGTCTGGCCCTCTAGCAACTTCAGCGCAAAATTATAGCTAATTTGCCTACAAACGTCAGGTGGTCATAATAATGTGGCCACTCAGTGTATATTATAAATACATGGGGTCCTTCTATAAATCAGATGACTGCAAGAACATATAATATGCATACATGTGGTCCTTCTATAGATCAGATGACAGTGAGGGTATATATTATACATACATAGGGCATATATAATATATACACGGTGTCCTTCTTTAGCTCAGATAATAGCAAGGACATATATTATACTTACATGGGGTCCTTTCATAATCAGATGACAGTGATGATATATATATTTTACATACTTAGGACATAGATCATACATACATGGAGTCCTTCTATAGATCAGATGACAGTGAGGATGTACATTATACATGCATGGGGTCCATTTATAGATAGGTTGACAAAAAAAATCACTTCTACTGTCGTGGTAACCAACCTGCTTCCCTATTTATAATGGTCTGGCCCTCTAGCAACTTCAGCGCAAAATTATAGCTAATTTGCCTACAAACGTCAGGTGGTCATAATAATCTGGCCAATCAGTGTAGATGTAGTGTATTTAGGATAGATGGCATTAAGGGTGTGCCCACTAGAACACAAGTAACTCCAGCTCACCTACATAACACACCTCAGACCTTGTAATTGGCAGGGGCCATTCTGCAACACCCATTGAGGGGACACAAAAGGGTGACTGCCCAAGCAGCTCTGAGCTCTTTGTTACCATCAAGACTCTGAAGAAATTCTAAGGCTGACCATACCTATACCAAGGGTAGGCAAACTTCAGCCCTTCAGCTGAGGTAAAACTACAAATTACATAATGCATCTCCCTCTGGAAGTCATGCTTTTAGCTGCCAGGCTCTTGCAATGCCTAACAGGATTAACCGCAGCAGGAGGGTAGCAGTTTGCCTACCCCGGCACTATACAATCTGATTGGACAATCTTCATTAAGGTGCCCATGCACTTTACAACCCTCGCAAGACTTTTGTCTTGCGAGGGTTGTAAAGTACTTAAAAAAACGTACGATCTGCCCATCTTGGACAGGCAGATCGTACTTGCGATCATCGCAAGCCCGCCCCTGCGCGAAATTATAGCTAATTTGCCTACAAACGTCAGGTGGTCATAATAACCTTGCCACTCAGTGTATATTATAAATACATGGGGTCCTTCTATAAATCAGATGACTGCAAGAACATATAATATGCATACATGTGGTCCTTCTATAGATCAGATGACAGTGAGGGTATATATTATACATACATAGGGCATATATAATATATACACGGTGTCCTTCTTTAGCTCAGATAATAGCAAGGACATATATTATACTTACATGGGGTCCTTTCATAATCAGATGACAGTGATGATATATATATTTTACATACTTAGGACATAGATCATACATACATGGAGTCCTTCTATAGATCAGATGACAGTGAGGATGTACATTATACATGCATGGGGTCCATTTATAGATAGGTTGACAAAAAAAATCACTTCTACTGTCGTGGTAACCAACCTGCTTCCCTATTTATAATGGTCTGGCCCTCTAGCAACTTCAGCGCAAAATTATAGCTAATTTGCCTACAAACGTCAGGTGGTCATAATAATCTGGCCAATCAGTGTAGATGTAGTGTATTTAGGATAGATGGCATTAAGGGTGTGCCCACTAGAACACAAGTAACTCCAGCTCACCTACATAACACACCTCAGACCTTGTAATTGGCAGGGGCCATTCTGCAACACCCATTGAGGGGACACAAAAGGGTGACTGCCCAAGCAGCTCTGAGCTCTTTGTTACCATCAAGACTCTGAAGAAATTCTAAGGCTGACCATACCTATACCAAGGGTAGGCAAACTTCAGCCCTTCAGCTGAGGTAAAACTACAAATTACATAATGCATCTCCCTCTGGAAGTCATGCTTTTAGCTGCCAGGCTCTTGCAATGCCTAACAGGATTAACCGCAGCAGGAGGGTAGCAGTTTGCCTACCCCGGCACTATACAATCTGATTGGACAATCTTCATTAAGGTGCCCATGCACTTTACAACCCTCGCAAGACTTTTGTCTTGCGAGGGTTGTAAAGTACTTAAAAAAACGTACGATCTGCCCATCTTGGACAGGCAGATCGTACTTGCGATCATCGCAAGCCCGCCCCCGGAGGGGCGGGCCTACAAAGACTGCAATGAGTGGCGGGCTTACGATGACTGCAAACGGGCTGTGGGCGCGTGCTCACACCGGCCCGTTCGGCAGTTGTCGAACCAGCAGGCCACTAACTCGCCGAGAATCGTACGATTCCCGGCGGGTTTTTCTAGCCTGCTGGTTCGACGGAAGACGTGCGACCGTACAGTAGAAACGGTTGCACGCCTTCCATACACTGCACGATTCTCGTACGATCGCGGGATTTCCCGCGATTCTCGTACGAGAATCGTGCAGTGTATGGGCACTTTTAGACCTACCATCATCTTTGTAGTGCAAGAGCCTGATTTGATATACTAATTGAATGGGTTGTATAGGTTTGTCCTCATATTACTTGTACAGAGCTTTCACAATCAGATTGGATAGTGTATGACCAGCTTAGCAGCCATTTATGTGGGCCAGTGACTCTGCCATATCAGATTGGACTTACTCTGCGAGCGAATCAGACTCACAGAACCAAAAACCAGGCAGACTTTGCTTAAGTATTTTTCACTTTTAACCCCTTTTATTTCACGGTTACCTATGTCGGTTTTGTAATATCTTTTCTGTAAATATTTGTTGCACCTTTTTTTTTTCTAATTAAACAATATTTTACATTTGTTTAACTGAATCTCCAAATTCTCTAATTGGAAATGAACAAACTCTTGCCTCTGTGAAGAAGCTACTGAATTCTGTTACATTCCTGTCTGTGTGTGGCAGTGAGTGACACAGACATTCTTTTAAAGGTCAAAGTTTCAACAGCAGATGCTGCAAACGCATTTTTTCTCATTAATATGTGTGCTAGCAGCCACCGTGCGTGTGTGTGTAAAGAGTTAACTGTAAACTATCCCCAATGTAAAGGCACAGATAATATTGATTATTGCTTCACCCTTCTATCCCTAAACATTGCTTCTTTCCTATTTTAACTGCTTTCTAACTGTCCAGAGCACCTGCTATAGTTGCTTTTTTTTTAATTTGGTACTAACACACACTGGAAGTCTTCACCTGCCTTGCAATGGTGATGTCTGGGCTTCTGGTGTGTTGCTGTACCATTATGGAGGAGGGGGGAGCCTGCTCTCAGTTTGTGTATTGCTCTATACGCCACATAGTTGAGTTATAACTCTCAGCTGTCAGGCCACTGCAGAGAGACCACTGCTTCCAAGGGTCCTTTGCTGCAGTAAAATGATAGAGAACAAGCTTTTCACTAGCTTTCTAGGGATAACCAACCTTGAGCACCTTTTGCTTTGATGGACCGGCCACATATTTAGCTGTTTTAAACTAGAACTTTAATTCGGCTCTAAAGTAGACTTTTTTTTTTTTTTAAACTACATTTATTTACATACTTCATGGAAAATTCACAACTTCTAAAATAACTTTTAAGAGCGTCTGTAAGTCTCTGGAAGGGCAGTCATCATTCCAGCTTCACCCCGTGTAGAAGAATGCTGAACCGTCAAATAATTTCACTTTCATCTCCCTGCTGCTGGCAGCAATGGTGTCTGCTGAGCTGGAATGTCCTGCCTGTCTGAACATTTATAGAGACCCTGTAATCTTGATATGTAGACACAACTTTTGCTGGGTCTGTATTGATTGTGTGCTGGGTACACAGGATGGATCTGGAGGTTATTCTTGTCCTGAATGCAGAGAGAAGTTCCAGGAGCAGCGCTCTTCAGAGGAACATAAAAAGTCCATGGTCCCATCGCACTCCTAACCGCTAAAATCCCTCAGAAGAGCGGGTGCAACGGTAGTCGACGGGTGTCAGCCGTAACAATCAGATGCAGGAACAGAGACACCGGCGCTCCAAATCGACAGGCAAACGTCTATTTATTGACGTGCAGCATGACAAAAGATAGCAACGAACGTTTCGGGGC